GGAAACCAGTGAACACGTGAATGTCATGAGAGTAGACACTTCAGCTGTAGATATGCATTGGCCCCCTCAAACATCCATGTCAGACTTGTCTCAGATATTTCTCACTGTTCCCTTTACTATGAACTTCACAAACCAAAGATACATCACTTGGAAACCTCAGTGTGCAAAATAATGACGCCATTCCAGATGAAAGATCTGGAGATCATTTCTCAAGGTTATATTTTTAAGTACACAAGGACACAGAAATGATCAGTACCCACTTTCTCTTTGTCCTCTATTGGCGGTGAGATTAAGCTCTCCCACTATGTAAAATGGCACCTAGTGTAGCATGTCAGGCTTAGGGCTTCATTTAATTTTCAGATTCTGCTTGTTGTTGGTATCCTAATATTCCCACTGCATGTTTGAGTTTGGCGAGTAGCTGGGGTGACTGAGCAGAGAGTGTTATCTCTGGACGAGTGGGGCTGGAAAGAGGACCTTCTTCACTGGAAGCAGAGTCCAGCAAAAGGAGGTACCCATGAATGAGGTTGATGTGATGTCATCTCACCCATGGGTTCCAATCGAGCACTTAAAATTACCAGTGACCAGAATCCTCTCGTTCCCAGATGATGCACATGGGGAGAGAATAAGGTGAAGGGGAGAGAGAAGGCATGTGGGAGGGAGTGGCTGTTGCTGATGGTAGTTGCTGGACCCAGTGGGAACATCCAATAATATTAATAATGAAAATGACAGTGGCAATGAATGATAACCCGTCTGAAGGTTACATGGCCTGTCAGAAAACTGGACCTGCATAAGGGAAGATCTTCAAGCTTCAAAAGAAATAATTAAGTAGAATTGATTATTATCTTTATTAAATGCACTATTATATTAACATTATTATTTTGTATTTATATTACTTACAAAGCCTAGAATCAGCATCGAGCTAAGTATTACCAGGGGATAGCAATTGAATAGTCTACAACATAAAGTCTGACACTGTATGGAAAGGAGAGGGCTTTTAAGAGAAGGGATCTGAGAAATGTTAGTTTGATTATCATGAAAAAACGTAGACACCCAAGATCCCTTACACGTCTAAAGTCTAGTAAAACTTGGCCTTAAGAGAAGATGTGACCCTGAGGAGGTTTGAAGAAGCAGAGTAGGAGTCACATATGCTCCTGGCTCTCTTCTGTCTTGCCTTGTTTGTAACATCTAATGAAATTCTCAGCAGGATTTTACAGACGGAGTTTAAAAGCATTCTGTTAAAATTTGATTAGGCCAGTGTTGGAGTTGGGACATGAAATAGTGTTAGTGCAAGTGTTCAAAAGGAACAGAAATTTGTCCTGCAAGAAAATAGAGCTGGGCTAGAACTCCCTGGTTGGTTTATGAATTATAATGTATACGTTGCTATCATTAATTCTTTTGGTATCCATTTTAAATTCTGAAATAATTAAAAATACAAAACTCTGAAAACTATTTCAAATAAAGAAGTCCTATCTGTTCACATACACTCCTGAGACTGGGATGCAGCTATAAAGATGTGCTAAGAACACATCATGCCCTACTTCAATTGTAACATTTGTTTTCTGCGTAGAACAGAAAATAAAGCTTTGTTTTAATTATATGGTGTCTTAGATTAGCTGGTGTAGTGTCCTATGAACACAGGCAAATTCCTTTTCATAAGCAATGACAACCGCTCTCCCGAAACTATTATCCTTTCATCCAGTCATTTTTCTTAAAGGTTTTATTTTATTTTTTTATTAGAGAGAGAGAGAGAGTGCATGTGCACAAGCAGGGGGAGGGGCAGAGGGAGAGGGAGAAGCAGACTCCCCGCTGAGCAGGGAGCCCAATGCGGGGCTCAATCCCAGGACCCCTGAGATCATGACCTGAGCCAAAGGCAGACGCTTAACTGACTGAGCCACCCAGGCGCCCCTCATCCAGTCTTTCATATGTTCACTACACATAAGCACATATGGTTGTCCCACTTACTTGTGGTTTTGCTTTCCATGGTCTCAGTTACCCGAGGTCAGGGTCAGTTGGGGACCGATCTTCCTTCTGATGTAGCATCACATCAGAAGCCTGCATCACATGCCTGTGTCACTCATTGCACTTCATCTCATCATGTAGACAATTGATCATCTTTCATCATCGCAAGAAGAGGGGTGTATACAGGAAGAGAAGGTATTTTGATAGAGACAGAGAAACCACACTTGTACAACTTTTATTACAGTATATTGTTATAAGTGTTCTATTTCATTATTAGTTATTCTTGGTAATCTCTTACTGTGCTTACTTTATAAATTCAACTTTATCATAGTTAAGTATATATAAGAAAACACATAGTGTATATAGGGTTCGGTATTCTCTGTGGTTTTGGGCACCCCCTGGGGGTCCTGGAACATAGACCACATGGGAAAAGGGGGAGGGACTAATTACATGTGAAAAAAAAACCTTCAAATGCCATTATTTTCCATTTTAATTCACTCTGATATATTGCTGATATATTCACATATATTAACTATATCTTTTTACAAAACAAATCTTCATTAGCCATTGTACTTTTTTATGTTGATAGTTTCAGGTCTCGATAATTTATTCTAAATGCCCTATAGTATTTTATCATATTAAAACACAATCCTTTATATTCATCCATTAAACCCTATACTGATTTTTAAATTATTGGCATGTTTTCTGCTCTTACAAAGAGGCTAAGAACCGTTTAATGTGTGCTTTTTGCTAATGTTTGAGAGTTTCTTCGGAGAGAGTCCTGGTCAAGCCCACCTTAAGTTTAGAAGCTGTTACCAAATCACCGTTCCAGTTAGAACAACTCTCCATAGTGCAGGTGTGTTTTTCTAGTGCTGGAGAAAACTTCCTTTTGAAACCAAGCTCTACCACTAATTAGCTATGTGGCCTTTGACCGGTTACTGACTTCATTGCTTCAGTTTCCTCACTCGTAAAAAGAAGATCATTCTCATACCCAAGTCATAGATTTCTAAGAGAATTGGATGAATATGAAGTGCTTAGAACAGTGGCAAGCACATAACAAGTGTAAGCCATCATTATTAAACCATTGATAAAGTTACTAGTATTTTATATCTGTCACCTTCCTATTTGAAATGGCATTCTCCTGCTTACCAGAGAATTTCTGCTTCTTTTCTCATATTTATTGGTTATTCTTTTCTGTTTGTATTCTTTGTCCAATTTTCTATTTTATTTCCAGTCTTATTTATTTGTTGAAGTCATTTATAAGACACTGTTAATGTATTGTTGTATACACAGCTTAATCTCCTCTCTCTCTTTGATTTTTATCACATTACTGTATGTATGATGTTTGTGGTCGAACAGCAATTGTCAAATGTACTATTTTGATATTGATTCATCCTTCCCATTATAATTTGTGTTTGGGAACCCTATTTCCTTATTCCAAAATCATGAGAGCATTATTCTGTTTACTTGTGTAAATGTTTTATGCTTTGCTATTTATATTTGGGACTCAAATTCATCTAGAATTCATTTTTACACATGGCATGAGATAGAGATCAGCGTTCGTTTCCTTTACTAATAATCAGCCCATTCTTTACGACTAATGCATGAAACAGCCCCCTTTCGTACCCCAAATCCACACCCGTGTGTGGGCTTAGGTTGAGTTCTCTAGTCTGTCCAGGTGATCTCTTCTTCTGGTGTCTGCACCAGGACCACGGTATTTAAGGAATTTGGCTTTCTGGAGTTTTTATTGAGATGCAGCGGACATGGGTTTCTAAGTGTCCAGATGGGTAAATTTTCACGAGCCCTCAGATCCAGAGCATTTACCGCACTCCAGAAGCCCTGCTTTCACCCCTCTGCGATCACCAGCACCTTGGCCAAGGCACCACCGACCTGACTTCTACGGTGTGGCTTAGTTTCACCTGGTTTTATACTTTATCTTATTGAATGTTCTCTCGTGTGTTTGACAGATTCCACTCAACATTATGTTCGTGAGATTCATCCGATTATTTTTTTATAGCTGTAGGTCATTTATTCTATGAAAAAAATTATTTCCCCTATGATTTTAAATGACTTCAAACATATGAAAAATTTGCAGATAAATAGCACAAACAACTTTTTCCCCAACAATTTTCAAATGACTTGCTGGTATGCTGTCCCATCATCAGCCTTGAATACGTGCATTGTGCGTTCAGTGTGTAACCTCCATATCACCCCTGGAATCAGGAAACTGCTCCTGATGCACTGTGACCGTCCAGTCAAGATGCCTCACTCAGGTCTTTCCCATCGTCCCACTGATGCCCACAGAGCCAAAGACCCAGGCCGCCATGACAGGATGGGTGCACTTTCACCTTGCCTGGACACTTTCCTCCATCTTCTGATGAGCTTTCCACCCTTGACGGCCTTGAAGCTACAGGCCAGTCACTTTGTGAAAGAAAAATTAAGTTGGTCTGATATTTCTTCATGACTCAGACATCTCCCTATCATTCAGTGTTTATTCTAATATAACAGAATTTACTAGAAACTCAAAAGGACTAAACATACTGACACCATGGCCATCCTCATAAATCACTGTGTCACTGAAATTAAGTTCATTTTTGTTTTTCTGAGAAGTTTGTAAGTTCTTCTGTGTTTCAGCTGCAGGTGCTTTCTACTCGGATCAAAAATCCTTTCTGTCTTATGGTACTGAAATGAAATGTTGCTGAGCGACGTTGTGTGTGATGTAAATCCCCACAGGTTCAGCTTACTTCATGGGTTTCTATCAAACTGGATGTGTGTGGGATGCTCTGCTTAAGGACAGCAGAATAATTTCAAGCCTGTGAACCAAGTAATGAGGGATCAGACAGCCGCCTCTGTTTTATCATTATGAATGCTCAAAACGTGCTGCAAAGGGCGTAATTCCCCAGGCGTTTTGTAGTTACAAATGAGTCTCAGACGTGGAGCTTCCCTGGCGTTTGGATATGGAAATAAGGCAGCTGTGCCCTGAGGCGGGGGGCCTGCACCTTCTCACCGCTGTCTGTCTCCCGCACTGCTTGGCAGGTGTCTCGGCTCTACCTCAGCAGCACGGGGCAGCCCTGCTCCTCCTCCCTGCCGCCTCACATCTTCTCCTGCGCCGAGAGAGCCTTCCACCAGCTTTTCCAGGAGCAGCGGCCCCAGTGCTTCATTCTCAGGTGAGCCCGCCCCTCGCCCGCCCCTCGCCCGCCCTCGCTCGCCCACCCGCTGATGATGCGCTGAGGCAATGCCTGGGGGTTGGGCGTGAGACCCTTCTCCTTGCCTGTGGTTCACGTTTATTGACTTCCGCAGCACCTGGCGGTCCAGCGTGTCTTTGCAATAAGTAATTTGACTCGTTACCAAGGAGAAACATCTCTGTTCTTAGGAATAGCCCCAAGTGTGGCGGAATCAATATCAACACACTTAACCTGAAACTCAATTCATTTTGAAGATTTACTACTTAGGACCAGAGTGTTTTTGCTTTCAAACCTCAGGAATCACCGGGAAAGAAAGGCACCTGCTGTTAGCGCCCACTGTGTGGTGTGGTCCAAAGTACAAATTATTACCCTGCAGTTGTGGGTTTTCTCACCTGCTTCTAGCTATTTACCTCTGCTCATATTGTACCAAAAGTGTACACCCGGACATATTTTACACTGAAATATCATGGTAACATGAGCTCATGAATAGCAAGAAGCTCAGGACAATGATTCACATTGGAGCAAACACCCACACATACACACACACGAACCGCAAGACGTGGAGGTGAAATGTGATTATGTATTGATAAAGGATTAAAGAATTATTTCGGTGTTAATATAAGATCTGCATTGAGAATTATGTTTCTTATTAGGAGCAACCTCTACCAGAGGGGACTTCTGTAAATCCTCAAGGCTTTGCCCGAGTTATAGTCAGTCGTGTTGGCTGCAACTGAATGTTGTCAATAAAGCTTTGCCCAACTCATCAAAGTGAAATGAAAGATAGGACACATGGACACCTGGATAGAACCCAAAAGACATTTATTTATTGTTTTAAAAGATTTTATTTATTTATTCGACAGAGGAAGACAAAGCGAGAGCAGGAACACAAGCAGGGGGAGTGGGAGAGGGGGAAGCAGGCTTCCCGCTGAGCAGGGAGCCCGAAGTGGGGCTCCATCCCAGGACCCTGGGATCATGACCTGAGCCGAAGGCAGACGCTTAACGATTGAGCCACCCAGGCGCTCCCAAAAGACATTTAAATACTTAAGTAAGCACTTACTTACACACTTCTACATTATCAATTTGATCAAAAAGTTCCAGAGAGGGTCAGATAGATGGCTTGCAAACGTCAATGTTCTGGTTTTCAAAATTGTGAGCGAGTGGTTGTTTTCACCCTTGTTCTGAAGAGTCCCCAGGGTAGGAGAGGCTCTGGGGGCAGGGTGGCCCCAGCTGTTCTTGAATCAAGCAACTGTGTTTTCATCTGCTTTATCTGTCCAATTGTCTAGTCTAACTTTGACCAAAAAGGGGAACACTTTTAAAAAAATCATGAGACTGTGGGGCATGTAATACTAGTGTGGTAATAACAACTAATGTTTACTGAGAACTTAGTAAGTGCCAGACCCTCCACTAGGTGCTTTCCACATATTCCCTTACCCATTGCTTTAGCAATCTTCTAAGATTGGTATTATTATTAGCATCACGATTTTATGTGTCAGGTGACTGTGTATTAGGAGGAGTAACTCATTAGTCTAGGGTCTTCAATTAGTGAATAGTGAATCTGGGATGTGAGCCCCATAATGTGAATTAGTAAATGGTGATTAATTAGTGTAGGGTCCAGTGGATGCTATATGTGGGATGGGAGCCCATAGTCTGGCTTCTGGGCCTGAATGAAGCTTACCCACGAGTGCATGGCTGGCCCCCTGCGGCTACCCCAAGGAGGTTTCCAGCGGCCCACCCGGGCCTCCCTAAAATGATGGCCACAGATCCACGGATTTTCCTAAATTCTTATTGAATCCACTCAATTCTTTTGAAAGACATTGGTCCATAGCAAAGTTCTGAGTTGCCAATGAATTGTATCCTTTGGGAATCTGCCTGTTACAGATTTTACAGTATCTAGCAAGTTCTTTCAGTAAATAAACCTGTTTATCTGTAACCCAGTGCTTTCTACGTGAATTTGCCCATGGAATTGCTTTTCCAGTAGGACTTGTTAATATTCTGCAGAAGCAGTATTTCTTCGGGGCATTTTTAAAGGCTAATAATGCCATGTATCAACCAGTTTTTCTTAAAAAAAAAGATTTCTTCGTTCAGGTTTCAAGAAATGAAGAACAAATCTGTGATCACAAGGACTTACTATTTTAGTCATTCTCTTTCTTCTTTCAGGATTGATGTTTTTATGTGGCTTTTCTATCTCCTTGATTGTCTTGACTAAGATAAAGGTTTTCTGCATTTATTATACTAATTCATTAAAATTAGTAAATTTAGAAGTCAGCTAAATACATTGTTTAAAGATAATTTTTGAGAGTCTGTTGTGTCTTTAAAAGATTTATTTATTTTTGAGAGAGAGCGGGAGGGAGGGGCACAGGGAGAGGGAAAGAGAGTCTTGAGCAGACTCCTCAGGGAGCGCAGAGCCCTATGTGGGGCTCCATCTCACGACCCTGAGATCAGGACCTGAGCCAAAACCAAGAGTTGGATGCTTAACTGACTGAGCCACCCAGGCGCCCCAAGAGAGTCTATTCTATCTTACAACCAGCATTTACAAAGGATAATTTAAGACTTGGAGTTCAAAACACAGATATTCCTGGAATAGCCATCCTGTAACTTAGGACTGGGGTGGGACTTTTTAAATTTTATTTTCAAATTTTAATTTTATTTTTCACTTTGTTGATAATTATAGGCCCTACTAGCGCACTAGGCTTCATCTTGAGGAATAGTTTTTTAATAATTTTCAGAACTTGGTCCTGGGTTATAACTGAGAGTTTGGTGTTCACCATCATCTATCTTATCTTTAATTTTCTGGAGGCCCTGATAGATGGTTTTAATTAGTTGTTAGAGCACATGTGACAAAAATCCATTATCCTAACAGTGTGTGGAGCAAATCTAAATTAACGTTACATGCTGAACATACAAGTAACTTGGGAAATACGCAGCCTAGGGTCTGCCTTTATCACGTGCAGATTTAGCAGACAAGACTGATCAGATGAGTTTTAAAATTCTTATGGGTCCTGATTGGCACCACCCAAAATCTCTGGTCAATTTCTAATTGAATCTCAGTCTGGATTTGCAGGTCAAGGAATGTTTCTTGAACACACTGAGCTAAGATTTTTAGTTTTAATGTGATAGCCCTGTAGTGTCAACCCTATCCTAACATATCGCATGTCTTTTTTTTTTTTTTCTTTTATTTCCTTGTATTTTACTCAGAGTTTAAATGGAATATGGCCATTTTGAGATTTTATGATATGGTTAAAATGCATGGGATTTTAGCCAGCTAAGAGAACTGACGGCCATTTTCTCTATTCCTACATGTCCTGATAGAGTGAGCGCTGTGGTGGGAGGAGGGGGCAGCTCAGCCGCACATCCTCACAGGTCTCTGGGGTCTTCATGTCCGCAGACTGCTGGCCTCATCCACCTTGTAGACTCACCCCCTGTTTCAGGTTGCATAGTATGTGCTTGGGAAGTACTGGTTGAGAATTTCTTGTTGAATAATCACTGCCTTCCACGCTACCCCTTCTCCAAGAATCAGCTCAACCCCCACCTCATGGGGAAGTCTTCCCTGGTTTCTTCCACCTCTGGGCACCTTGTTAGCTGTGAACAGAATCTCTCCAAAAACAAGATTTAAGAAACATCCAGTTATTTTGTTAAGTAAGAGAATATTTATAACAGCGAATACAAGTGTAGAAGTTAAATTTCCACCATGAAAGAGCTAAATTGTTTCTTCCCTGAAATGAGAAGGTTAAAAGCAAATGCCTTTGAACCCAGAAAAGGAACTCCTTATCCTGTGCAGGTCTCTGTCACCTGCTTCCCTGAGGCTGCTAGGGTAGTTGTTCCAAACGTTGTTAAAATATTTATGGGGAGTGTAGATGAGGGGAGTAGAAAAGCATTTCTTAACAACTTGAGACCTGAATAAAAGAAGCAAATTTCGGCTTCTTCTTTTCCTGGCAAACATCCTTTAATCAAATTCATTAGTACAAATATCAAGGGAGAAGCCTGAGAAATCAGCACTAGTAAAGAGATTTATATATATTTTTAACTTTTAAGCTATCAGATGAATAAAGACTTTTTCATTTCATTTACTTACTGGAAGCAGTAAAAACATTATTTTGTATCAGTAATTACTGTATTGGATTTCTATGTTAATCTTCTCATCTCATGTCAGAAATGTAATATAGTTATTATTTATAGAAATTAGATGAGTTATGGGGTGCCTGGGTGGCTCAGTTGGTTAAGCGTCTGACTCTTGGTTTTGGCTCAGGTCATGATCTCAGGGTCCTGGGGTCCATCCCCAAGTCAGGCTCCACGCTCAGCAGGGAGTCTCCTTGAGACTGTCTCTCTCCCTCTGCCCTTCCCCCTGCTTGCACAGGTGTGCATGCACGCACATTCTTTCTCTCTCTAAAATAAATAAATAAAAATCTTTTTTAAAAAAGAAATTAGATGAATTATGAAGTATGCCTGAGAAATATCAAAAGTACCGTCATTATAAATAACAAGTTTGGTGAGTGTTCGTTTGTTCCTAGATTGAAGGAAACCTGAACACACAGAACGTCAGACTGAGAGCAGCCTCAAGAGGCAACTGGCCATTGGAGGGTCCGCCGCGTGCCAGGCACCTTACTCACCTGGTCACATCTGACCATCTTAACAACTTAGTTTCAGGAGTTGCTTGCTTTATGTTCATTTTGAAGAGGAGACAAGGGAAGCTTAGAAAGATTTCATGGGTCTCCCGAGGAAGATGTAATGTCTTTCCTGGAAGGCTCAGAAAGATTTAACAAGGTCATGTGGTGTAGCTCTAGGACACATACATCCCCACCTTAGCGGCTGTCCCCTGGGGGCCACCTCACTTACCTTCATTTACAAAGCTGAGGACAAGTCGTCATTGTCTTTCTTTTCAGCCTGACCCCTTTCTACTGTAATTCACCTACGTGTGTGGTTCTACCCTGTGAGGCATTGGATGGCAGACTCACATCCCATTGATATGATGTCCCAGCATTTAGAGATGTTGGCGTTAAATTCACATGTCTTCCCAGCATCTAGAACACCATAGGGCATGTGACATAGGACATATGTACTAAATATTTCGGTGAACCAATCAAAGGGAAGAGTGAGATGATACCATACATGCATTAAAGGTTCTGTCATTCCCTCACCATCTTTGTGTCTGAGGATTACCTCTGCTCATTGGATCGTTTCCTACATTCTCCAAAACAGTAAACTTAGGTTTTCTCTCTCTGTTTTCTTTTAGTGGAGAAAGAGGATCGGGCAAGTCTGAAGCCAGCAAACAAATAATGAGACACCTCATCTGCAGGTCTGGCTCCAGCAGACCCATGTTTGATTCCAAATTTAAACATGTAAGTTTCTTGTTTGGGTTGGAGAATATGTTGAGTCAAGAAACCTGTAGTTTACAAATAAAAGGAGATATCATAGTAAGACCATAGTTTGACCATAAATTGGTCGAAGTTTGTAGAAACAAAGGAAAAAAAAGATTGGTGCAAATTAATGCTGCTCAAGTGAAGGTTTATTTTTTTGTACATATTTTCAAATACTTTGAACATACTCTTTTTATATTTGCTCAGAACAGTTGGATTGAAAACATATAATATACTTAGATTGTTGTTGTTCACCTAAAAAGTGCCACTTTGGTGTGTAGATTCCTTTGAGGGATTTGGCCCGATAAGCACCTCTTTTTGGGGGATCACTGAGAGCTGATAATAAAGTTTCAATGTATTTAAAAGAATTGATAACAGGAAATGTTAATGACATTGATGGGCAGGTAATATACCTTTACCCCCAATATTGATTTTTTTGACATACAACATTGTGTTAGTCTTAGGCATGCAACATAGTGATTGGATATGTGTATGGATTACAAAATGATCACCACAGTAAGTTTAATTAACATACATCACTACACATAGTTAAATTTTTTTGTCTTGTGCTGAGAACTTTGAAGTTTTGCTCGCTTAGCATCTTTCAAACACACAGAGCAGTGTTGCTCACCGTGGTCACCATGCTGTGCGTTAGATCTACAGGACTTACTTATCTTATAACTGGGACTTTGTGCCTTTTGACTCCCTTTGCCCAGTTTAGAACTGATTTTAAGTTACATTCAGTAACACTTGCTTCTCATCGTGTTCCTTCATCCACCTAAAATATTGTCAGGATTCAAGGAGGAACCAGAAAGGCCTCTGAGCAGCTAAGATAAAGGTCAGAAAAACTCAGAAATTTTACCCAAGGACACACCTGCAGGTGCTTGTCTCTTGTTCTTGCACGGTTCTGTTAAGTTTGGTTAGCAGGTTTTCCCTGGCACAGTAGACTGGAGGAACCAACTCGGGAACTGCTAGAAAGATCCTGCAATGAGCGCTTGGGAACCCCTAGGGGGTGGGAACAGACAGAGAGAGATGATCAATAACCAATCAGGAAAATGGTCAGAACTCAGAAGTGTGCTGCTCTGGGAGTCTCCATCTGTAGGGCTAACCCTCCAATTTCATCATTTTATAGGAAATAACTCTAGAATAATCCAAGTACGTGATGATTGTTCTCTTACATGCACCCCATTACTTGAGGGGCCGTGGGTCCTACACTCTGCGCTTGCTTGTGCTCAGTGGTCCCAGGGCTTGGTCCCTTCCGTGTGTGTCACGCTCTGTCCTAACCCCACCTGACCCCTTTCTTACCGTGTAGACTCCTGCCCAACAGCCTTCCTGGACATCCTACAGTGTGCCCCTAAGACATGGCCAGACCTGAATGCATGGGCTCGCACATTTCTCCAGCATTTCCTCCCAGGTCACCCATCAAATAAATGGCACAATCACTTTCTCATTTCCACGCTGGAAACTGGCTTTCACTTTGAGGCCAGCCCCTCCGGGCTTCCCCCAGGATCACAGTATCCCATCAGTCACACCAGCTGCTGTTTTCTTGTCCAGCCCCCTAGAGGTTCCCTGTTCCCTTAATCTTGCCAAAGCCACCTCTGAATGCACATCCCCCCTGACTGGGCCATGGTACCCCTGTCACTTAGTCATTTATTCAACAGTAACCTTAAGTGGCTGCCATGTGCATGTCCCTCGAATTCAGAGACACCATCTTAGAGCCTGCCACATAGTAGGAGATCGGTTTCCAGGTAACAGAGGAATGAGGGCAGGCATAGGGTACCCGTAAGTATTCCTGGCACACCTGAGATACAGTTGATTATCCCAAGTTACCTAAATTGATGTACTTTAATAATAGCAAGTTAGTTTAATGTGGATACACCATTTGTATGTCTTCAGGACCCTGTAAATTTTGCTGCGTGTGTGTGAGGATACACACCATTGGCCGTGTTGCCCTGGCACTCTCTCTCTTGGTGTGCATTTCACAGTGAGGTTTGGCAGATGCACGCCTTGACCCTCTGGAATCTCTCCTACACAAAACTTGCTGTGCACGCATTTCATTCGGCAATTTGATATTTGGAAATGTCTGATGACATTGGAATAAAAACAGTTGCTGTTAGCTTAGATTATTCCCTAAAATGGTACCCTCTGAAAGTTCAAACGTTGAAGATCTAGAAACCCATCGCCCTGAGAGAATTGTGCTGTTTGTGTTTGGTTTTCTGTCCCTGCCCTTTTGACTTGTAGCTGCAGGCCAGAGTTATTTCTGCCATGGTGGTGTTCACGAGGGAATATTCTGGACATTTTAGTACGCGATTCCTCGTTTAGAAATGAGAGGGACTTCTATTTAATCGATGGATCAATGTAATTTCCTCATATTTTCTACTTTTGAAAAAGAGGTCCTTAAAAAATTAAATCTGCTCTTCTGGATTCCCAAACCTATGCCTGATTCTGGAGATTTTTCTCTTTGTGAAGAATGTACGGTCAGTCAGTTCTGCAGCATATCTCTGGTGACGTACGTGTTCATTAATGACTCTAATTCATAACCATTCATTAAGCTCAAACTATATACTGAGAACCTGCATAATTCTACCGCACAGCTCAAAATAATTTAACATTTTGGGTCGAACCGGGTAGAATAGCATAAATTATCTTTCTTCAGATATTGTCAGATATGTACTACTGACACATAAGAATTCGAGAATTTATAGAACAACGTGGTTATAAAATAGACTTAGGTTAACTAATAGAATGATGGGATCTGTTGGCCTAATTATACTGGCAAGGAACAGTAGTCTCCAATGTAAATTTAGACTAAAGCAATCATTTATTAAAATGATCCTTTGTGAAAGAGCAGGCTGCATAATTTCTAAACTGCATTCTAGATTACTTTATGTAAATTGGCTTTGCATTTTAGCTTAAGTGAATACGTACTAAGTTGCATTTCTCTAGCTAGATATAACTCTTCCAAATCAGTTAGCATCTGGGAATCAATATTATGATATCCATGCAAATTTCAAGTACAACTATTTCTAATTCACGTGTTTGTTTTATTCATAAATCCTAAAATAAGTGATTTCTAGTCTTGTGAAATAATATTGCCCAGGATTGAGTATGGCTTAAACTTCATGTCAATTATGCTTTTTTTTGTTGTTTCTCTCTAAATTACAATCCTCATGAATATTGTTTGGTGTCCAAAGCATTCCTGAAAATTACCCAGTCCATTTTTGCACAGTGCCCAAGTATACGTGTGGGAATTAAATACAAGTGTTGGATCAACTTCTGAATTGACTGTAAATCTTTATAACATCATAGGGGTTCAGTGAAATTTTATACATTCCAGAGATGGGCCCGTACTTCCTGCATGAAAGAAAAGTCTGATTAAGGAGATGAGTGCCTAAGAGCATCCTTGATGGTGGAGCCTTCAGTAGAAGGCTTGAAGTTCAGCGCAAGGTGGGGTGAAAGGAAGCTTCGTTAGGTGACCCTGAAAGGAGAGACGTGGGTGAGCTGAATAGGAAAGCCATTCAGCCCAGACCCTATGGTGCAACATCGCTCTGAGGCTCTGCACCAGCAGGCGCAGTGCGCGAGGCTGCCCTGTGGGGCCGCGTGTGCGACGGACACCCACAGGGCGTCTCCACTGGGGATGCTGGCTGCCTCTAGCCCACACGGTTTTGCCCTGGTCCTAGGATACTGCGAGAGAAAATCAGTTATTGGAGGTTATTCTGATCAGCAGTTTCTGAAGAAGAGTGAAGGAAGGGTGGGGACATGAAAGGCATAGTGGGGTGGCCGTCAGCAGAGAATCCTGTAAGCTGAGGCGTAGAGAGTGTTTTCCTTGTGGTTTCCGTTGATGACCTAATTAAAGATTATTATCTGGAGCGTGGGGAGCAAAAGGACAAAGTGAAGAGGTTTGGGGGCAAGTTGGCTGTTGATAATCCCTCCTGACCCGTAAGCAGCACTCTCCGCCGGGGGCACAGAGGGGAAGAGGGGGATCCGGGTGGGGTCTGGAAGGCCAGGGAGAGCCTGGCTCCGAGTCCCAGACATGATCCGTAATATTTTCATGCCGGCCACACATGTATTATCAAGAGACACTCAGCCGTCATGTTCCTGCATCTTAATCTTATACTTCAGTTGTCCTGCTTCAAAAGTCTACGGAGGTTTACATTCTGCCCTCGCAGTGGGCTTCCGAGTTCAATGGGTTTGAACTCCATCACGTGGAGGTGTCTTTTGATACCCCTGTACAATTTCAGAACAGCTAAGATCAGTGAAGAAGGCTGCAGTTTTTAACCCTCATATCTGAATTTCAAACTGGAGAAGCAGGGGATTTTCTGTGGCAATAGGTTTATTGGAACATAAAAATCATGTGTTGGGGGAAAAACCAGCTGCCTGGTGCTTTTCACTAATTCTGGCCCAGATGACTTTCAAATTGGAGGAACATTCAGTTCCATTTAAATTGCTTAAATAAACATTTATTGAGTAACTGCTTTTACAGAGCAGAGTGATGGGGTCCACTTGGTTAAGCCATTGTTTTTTATTGAGGAAGCCACAGATTTTTACTCTCAGAAAATACCGTACGTTAACTACTGCCAAAATAGGAGTGCATAACTTCTAGAGACACAGCTATTAAGGCTTTGGAAGAAAAAAACATACAATTGTAAATAGAAAAAAATCTTACCACTAAAATTTGAATTGGGGACTACTTAGGAAATATTTACTTACTTCCCTTTTCTATATTTTTATTTAAAGCTTGGTGTTATGCAACGTTCTCATTATTTTCTTTCAAAGTTAAGGTGAGCAATGAACAATACCAGTTGTGTTTTTTTTGTTTTGTTTTGGTTTTTTTTTTTTTGGTATTTCTCTTAACACATTGTTATTTAGTGCCACCTATTGGCCAAAGGGATAATTAAAGATAAAAAATGTTATTCCGGTATAACCCGAATCTGAAGCTTGAATTATGGATCAACAGAGCATAGTGCAAGATTGCCGTATGAGCTCTTGCATTTTGTTCAATGGGTTTAGCTTGCTATAGTTTGAAGCCTTCTATGTCCTTGCTGTGGTTCTAGCTGTCACGGCCTGTCACTCAGTGAGGAAGCACATCTTATTTCGCAGAGAGATTGCCTGGGTTCAAATCCCAGCTCCACCATCTCCAAGCTCTCAACCTTGGGGAAGTTATGTAAGCTCTCATTTCCTTTTCTACAAAACGGAGACACTGTTGTGAGCATTAAAAGAAATATAGGCATAAATGTACATACACATGTATATCTATGTGTACAGAGTATACATAATTTTATATATAACTTCGTTTATATTATATATGTTATATATAAAAAACTTTAGAATAATGCTTGACACAGAATAAATTTTGCTACTATTATTAACAAAAATAAAACTAATCGTTGTTAAACTTTGTTGGATGCATACCATGTACCAGGCACGAAGCTGAGAACTTCATACAGCTGACATTGATGAGCACTGAAGGAGTTATACCTGTGTTAAAATAAAGGAGAATGTGGTTCTGGGAATTCATGACACTGGCTTAATGTCATATAATTTGTTACTAGCAGAGCTGGAATGTGGGGGCAGCTCCTTCTCACTCCAAAGCCCACGTATTGAACCGTTACCCTATATATCCTGTTTGAGCACATGTTATTCTTTATCTTTTATGTCTCTTTTCTATAATAACAAGCCAGTTTATTTTCAGATATAGCACCAAAATAGCTAGAAGCCAGAATACTTTAAAAAAATTCATTCTAATCCTTGTTATGAATTTTTAAATGATTATTAAATGTAATTTACATGTTGAAAATGTGATTTACTTACACTATTAATTCCACAATATATTTCTTTAATATTGAACTATTGGAAAAGAAGCAAAAAGCAGGACCTTTAAAAATACTATTTCAAATTATTTTTCAGAATATATATCTGCCGTCATTACTATCGATTCACTGTTATGATCTTTAAAATTAGGTTATTACAAAGAGACCTAAATCCTGGGCTTTCCTTAAAGATTCAGCATGTTTCCTTCAAAAGTTCAAAAGTTCAAAAACCAATCTTTTGGTATTTTACTATTACCACAACTTTTAGCACTTGGGATTTGTGATTAGAATCAAAGTATTGTTTTGTAATCTTTTAAGATATAAAATACTTCCAGGTGAACCAAATACCTTAACAGGTCAGTATCCAGAAAGTAAAAAAGTAGCAGCAAAGTTTTTTTTTTTTTTTAACTTAGAATAAAATTCTCAAAATTTACTATCACCAGAAATTATAAAGAAACCACTGTATCAATAAAGTAATGTGTTAGTGTGCTCCTCCTTGTGGCTGATGCAGGAACTGCATTTCACATCCATGACTTGAAAGATACAGAAAAATACTTTGAACCTTCCAGATTTTCACTTTCTGGAGAATTGCTTGGTCATCATCATCATCACAGACACAATCGATTGTGATAAGAAATGGTGTTTTCTCCATAGTCAGGGTTTAAGGAAACATGTCAGGAAAGACTTTCAGATGCCAGGGTTGATCTGAAGATCTTTGTTAACAGCATCTTAAAGCCCTAACTCCCCCCTCTGAAAGAGAACACTGGTGGTGAGACCCACCGAGTAAAACAGTTTCATCTAGAGCTCTTATTCCTGTTCTGTGGGAGAGAACAGGAGAGAACATGTAGAGGCTTGGGGTTGAAAGAGTGTGTGTGTCAATCCCCATTCAAAAGAAGGTTAGAAGCAAATGTTTAAGTTCATTTGTTTGTTTCAAAAGAAATTCTCACTATCGCTTCCATTAAATTTAATTCCTTCCCTCCAAAACCACAAAAGCATTTCTGCTGTCCTATTAAGTCTAAAAGCCTAAATAATATGTGTTGAGTTGTTTATGTTTGTGTGAAGAGATAGCAGAGCCAAGGGAAATCCTCTGTGTATCATTATCTTATTAAGTTTGAGGCAGAGGATACTAGTAGTTTGCTGTTGAAGAAAGAGTGTAAAAATTCAATATGGTATCATACAAACAACAGAGAGCCTCTTAGATAAGGGGATATTTCTGTATCTTTGCTATTATTCCCTTTATTTTGAAAAATGAGCTTAGTAAATGTTTCCATGTTGCTACAGGTCATGTGCATCTTGGAAGCCTTTGGACATGCCAAGACAACGCTTAATGATCTGTCCAGTTGCTTCATAAAATATTTTGAACTTCAGTTCTGCGAGAGGAAAAAACACCTAACTGGAGGTAAGAATAAAATTAAGAAAGGCAGATCTCAGGAGCTACCAGGAGAGGGCAGAGGAACACCAAACGTGGCGGCAACAGGGACCATGCACATGGGTGCACATGAGATGCCAGGTTAGGAGTTCTAAAATTATTGTGAATTGAAAAATATTCAGAAATGTGAGGTGGACCTTTTCAAGATGATTATTGTATAAACTATATAATATGGAACCAAACCAAAAATAGCTGAAATGAATCCTAATTATTGAACAGAGAAATGACTCACATACTCAGTTAAAATGAATTATTACTTGAGTACATATAATTCCTTCATACAACAGACATTGAAATCTATTTTAAATAAAGCTGAGTCTATGTTTTTAAAATGATTGAATTAAAACAAATCAAAACAACAAATAACCACCCAACTAAAGCCAAACAGAACTATTTTTTTTTGTTTAAATATTTAATGTGTACTTTATGAAAAGCCCTTATTTAAAATTCAACTTATTTAGGGGCACCTGGGTGGCTCAGTCGGTTAAGCCTCTGACTCATTTCCGCTCAGGTCATGATCTCAGGGTCATGAGATTGAGCCCTGCTTCAGGTTCTTCTCAGTGGGGAGTCTGCTAGAGATTTTCTTTCTCTCTCTCTCCCTCTGCCTCTCCCCCTGCTCATGCTCTCTCCCTCCCTCTCTCTTTCTCTCTCAAATAAGTAAATAAGTCTTTAAAAAAATTAAAAAAAATTAAAATTCAACTAATTTAGAATTCACTTGTGATTTTACGTCTTTCTAATCAAAACAGATTATCCATGCAAATTAATCATCTGAACAGAATTGTAGGTGGGGGTGCCTAATGCACTTGGGAGAATCAAGTACTGTAGAAACTTTAATAACAGCCGTTAGCGCACAAATGATTGCTAAGTGTAATGATTTTAGACAGAGATCAATCTTATTTGATGTTTTCAAGTGCTCTTCAGGAAACAAAAGTTAGTTTTGACCCTAATTTAGATACAAAAAGCCTGTATTTTTGCAGTACGTGTTTGTCAAAATCCATTATTACTAAATGTAATCGGGTAAGAAAAAATGCATAAAAGGAGTCAGAGGAGATAATTTTCGATGTTGAAGTTAGCAGCTTAAATTCTGCAACAGGAAAGTTATGTTTTAAAAATCCCCGACTACGAGCTCTGTTGGAAGGTCCACTGTATCCTCCCTGATCACGAGGCCTTCCCAGCGACTTCCTGGTGAGGCCCCCATCCTCTCTCCCCCGCCGAGGGGGCGCTCCAGCAGCCGGAAGGTGCAGACCCCTCCGGCGCCCCTGACAGCCTCCACGGGACCTTTGCGGGGTTGTTCTAGAGAAGCTGCCTAACGCTCCACGTTTCCCAAGTCCACACAGGAAGCACCTGGTAACTGGTGACCGGGTTCCGATGCGCAGCGGAGTGACTGGATGGCACGGATTGTGCCCTGGCTCCCGTCAGCCTAGAAGAAAGACCCCATATGGGAATTCTGTCGAGTGCAGGAGCGTGTGAGACCCACTCTAACAAAACATCACAGGCTCGGTGGCTTGGAACAGAAGTCCGCATCAGCAGGACTGCGGTCTCTTGGATGTCTCCGGGGGGGAGTCCTTCCTTGCCTCTTGCAGCCTAGGTCAGGGGCTCCCTCGCCTTGGGGGTTCCCTGGCTGGTAGCTGTGGCACTCGGGTCTCTGCCTCACTTGTCACAGGTGCTGTCCCTGTGTCTCCCTCCTTATAAACACTGGTCACATCAGAGTAGGATCTGTCCTGCTGTCCCTGTGTTTCCCTCCTTATAAACACTGGTCACATCGGAGCAGGATCTGTCCTGCTCCAGTGTGACTTCATCTTGTCTAAAAAAAGTGTATTTTATGTTTTATTGGACACATACATGCTCATACTGTTGTGTGAAGTGTTAGCTCATCAGTGCATTGGACTGTCCTGGGTCCGAGGCCCACCCAGTGCACCTATGACCTTGATCAAACCATGTGGACTCTCTAAGGTTGATTTGTAGAATGGAAAGGTGAGACCACAGAGACCAGGCAGAACAGGTGAATGAAGTAGGATGTGCAGGATAGCGGGGACCATGCCAGTCTAGACGCACTCGCCCTATGGCGTGACCTCATCTTAACGTGAGTACATCTGCAGGTTCCCTGTTCTCAAACACAATCACGTCCCCAGGTCCTCGGGTTAGGACTTAGGCATACCGTTTGTGGGACACAGTCCAGCCCACCACAGAGAATAAGACTCTGTTGTGTTGTCTTGGCATCTCAAACAAGATGCACTGAGCACTAGAGGTGGCTACGGGCCAGTATGATACCTTTGATAATCTCATCTGATATCCAGGCTCCTTTTCTGAAAGAAAAACAAAAGAAATATGCACTTAACAAGTTTTAAAGAGAACTGAGTTATTCAAATGGGTCCCCTGGAAAAGGCTTCTGAATTTTAAGTGTTCACTAAAATAGTAAACCAAACCTGAGTAAGGTTTTTACACCTCAAGCTAGGTCAAGTAAATGTAGGTTACAGGTTGATTTTGTACTTCATGGTAGTCTGGAGTTTCCCTTAAATTATCAACTTTTGTAAAATAGTGATGATGGGTCTTTTTGGACGGGGAGTATTCTCTTACTAATTTTAAGGTTGAGAGATGTTGCCTGTTTCCTTTATGGATACTGTTGCTCATACTTTTATAACTTAGTGCCAGATGCCCAATCAGGGATGTAGCCACAGATTATAATAGAAAGTATGAGGCTCAGTTTTATGAAACACCAGCTATAGAAAAGTAGGGAGTGTTTCTTATTTTGAAGAAAATTTAATTAATAAAGAACATTCTAGTCTGGCTTTCAGCCCACTATTTCCCCCCATTTGATTACTTATTTAACAATATAATTATTCTGAGTCCCATGGTGTATATGCCAGCAGCCTCGGGATGGAGTAACGTCCAGAACATCTTACCATCACCCCATAGGTGAGTTTATAGTGTACAGATAGTAGGAAAACTCTGCCAGTGATGATTTGTTTTCACTCATCCAGTACACTTGGGACTTTGCGGTAATTTGCAGGTGTGGTTGTCTGAATCCCTAATGATTTATATTTTTCGTCTAAGAGTGTAGGGAGGTTTTCAGGGTGTGAGGTTCAAGTGCACTTACGAAGTTAATGGCAAGGAGTATATTGGATGCCCTATTCCCAGTTCTTTCTCTTGTGATCAAGATCATATCTGGTCTTTTTAAGGTCCTTTAAAGTATAAGGTTGATATTCATTGTCGAATATGTGCAGTGTTTTGACATACGATAGAGTAGTATCCTTTCAGTCTTGTCCCCGGAGGGCCATTTTAATGTTTCTAAATCTTCAGATATACGTGATAGAGGCCTCCGCAGTCTTTGGGAAAATAGGTCAAAGCATTCTTCAGCAAGGGCGCTTGCCGCAGCACAGAGGGAGGGGCTCCCAGGCCGATCTCAGCGTGGACGCTGGTCAATGTCCCTTGCCGCCTTCTCCCAGCTAGAAAATTCAACACCAGCCCGGGCTCTCCTTTGCTCCTTTGAGCCTGTTTCACTCGATTGGAGAGAAACTACTTTTGAAGTTGAACATTTCTCAGGCCTACGGCGGAGGCTACGAACGGTTTGTTGCAGCTGCCCCTCACCCCGGAGGGGGCAGGCGGGGCTGTGACGGTGGTGGGGGGCCGGCGGAGCGTGCGCCGCCCCCCACCCCTGCGCTCGGCTCAGCGAGCTGCCGGTGGTGCGGCGAGACGCCCTGGTCGTCCCAGACCTCATTTGGCAACTAGACGTTCGAAACCAGAGCGTTCCACCGATCCAAGGTAAACCCCACTCCCCACCGGATACTTTGTTGCGTGGTAACGTTGTCTCCTCTTCTGGGACATTGACGACTGAAGAGGATGCTGGTCCGTGAACACTGATGGAAAGACTTTTGCAATTCACCACATCCCAGCAAACACGGGCTTTTAATGCTTTTCCTAACTGTTTGATTGTGGGGTTGTACACTCCTCATAATAACAAAATAAGCTGTGGTTTTGGAAAGTATCAGACTGTCTAATATGAGGACTATTAGCTAAAACTTCCAAACTTTGGAGGCTGCTCTCCTGAAGTCTTTGTAGACTAAAGGTGACTTTTTTAAAAAAAAATTTTGATTGTGTTATACTGAAATGAAGTCAGATTATTTTTCTGTTATGATTTCTTTTGAAATAAGCTTTTACATATTTCTAATGCTTTCTTCTGCATGGTTCGTATAAATTAATATTTTCTTTACAATATATTGTTTGGTTTCACTTTGATGTACTTCCCAGTTCCCCTTAAAGTCTACTTCTTCTCATTTTGCTGATCGTTCTAACCCTCTTCCCCTGTCCTGTCGTTGGTAATTTATATCCCTGCATAAACCAGTATGACTGTTTGCATGTTGGGATGTGTCCGGGCTGGGCTCTCCCGGGACTCACTGGTCTGTGGGCTCAGGTGAGTCACTGCAAGACAAGTCAGATATGCTGGCCCATTCCTGCCTCACCCCATTTCTTTTCTTTCTTTCTTTCTTTCTTTCTTTCTTTCTTTCTTTCTTTCTTTCTTTTCTTTCTTTCTTTTCTTTCTTTCTTCCTTCCTTCCTTCCTTCCT